CCTTTCCAATATTCTCTAATTCTATATGCCCTCCATGTTGTAGCCACAGGACCCCGGATTCACCTGGCTGTCTTTGCACAACAAAGTCACAGGGCTGAGGCTGGCACCAGAAAGATATTGAGGATCTGAATATTCTCCTCATAGAAAACAAAGTGCAGAAACCTGAAATCAATGGCCACTTTTACCTTTTCTAGGGCTGTCAGATGGCAACTGCACTTGACCCTAGTCCTCAGTTTCTTTACAGGAACACCGGAACAGTACAGTCTACACAACTGGGCTCCCCATTTCCCATCAGTCAGCAAGTATTAACTGGGTACCTATTGTGTGCCAGGAACTCTGCGTAATGCGTGGAATATGTGAATGAGCAAGACAGAAAATATCACTGTCCTCATGAAGTTCATGTGCTGCTGCAGGTAGATCTGTGAAATGGAACTGCTCATAATATTTTTATGGAAGCTAAATACAATAATAAATGGAACATACACCAAGGGCTGGCTTGGGGTAAATTATTATTATTTTTGATATTCACAGTATAAGCCCTTTTGTTCACCATTACTTTTAATAAGCTGCTCCTTTTACTTATAATCCCCCTCCCCTCAGCACCTCTCATTCTGCCAGCTGTTAAGTTCTCATCTGTGTAGGTACAGCTTGAAACCGACCTCTCCTCCTTCCTCCTAGGGATCATTCAGGATCTGAGAACTCTCTTGGAGTGCCAGCTCGCATTTCCACTTATCCTTTCTCCAGCCTGTCTGGCATTAACATTGTTCTATCACCATTAGCAGAGCCTACGCCTTCCACGTTTCCACCTCATTAGCCAAAGCCAAATACAGGGCCCTGATTTATCTGAGGAGCAGAACAGACTTAAAAAACAAGTGCAAGACAAGACAATAGGTAAGAAGAAAGGGAATATTAGAGAGAAAGTCTGGGATCCGAATTATGACTCCTTAGTACTTGATCAATGCATTCAGCCTTGGATGAGCTCTGGAAGTCACCAATTTTTGTGCCTTCTGGAAAAGTGGATCGTGACAGGCAAAGGATGAGCTGGTCCAAGGGTGACCAAAGGAAAGTGAAGTGGAGGCCACGGCTGGGCAGGAGGATGAACATCCACCTCAGGTCAAGGCTGCCTCTGAGCATTTTTGTTGCAAAGAAGCAAGATTGTCCAATATGGTGCTGTAATTCTTTGTTTCCTGTTTTATGTACTACTGTCCTGGCTCTCCAAAGTGTCAGGTTTTTTAGGGCTGGCAATCCTGCTCTGTTTCCAAGTGCTGCCTCCACTGACAAAACCACCCAGTACTTAAAAGCTAAAACAACCAATCTCAATGTCACCAGAACTTCAAAGTCAGATGTAACTAAACCCAGATTTAGCTTGGCTCCAAAGATTCCCAGGAGGTCCCAGCAGTTCACCGGGCTCACAGGAGTTCAAGTAAGCATACTATGGTGAATACATTCTGGACATTAACACTGATGTTCAACATGCAGGCAAAAGACGGACTTGATTCAGGTAAAATTAGTCCAGGGTATGCCATAAGTAAAGCTCCTTCATTTTGTTTGAATGTCAACAAAAGCAAGGAAACAGGCAATACTTACGAAATTAACAAGAAAAATGTTTGATAAGGCAGAAATGACAATTCTCACTAACCAAAGGAAGACTGTTACTCTCGGTTTTGGAACTGTGACATTTTTTGGTTCCAAAGATGCTTGGTTCAGTACTTTCTTTTTTCCCAAAGAAACCTTTTATTTAAGGAAAACAAACTTCATGCATTTTCTAAGTACAATTTTAGAAATACAGTGATTCTTCCCACTCTACCCACCCTCCCACCCCTCCTCCTCCCTCTCCCATTCCCAGTCCCATTCTCCACTAAGATCCATTTTCGATTAACTTTATACTCAGTACACTTTTTTAAAAAAGTATAAATTCAACCATTCTTCCCCACACTGCCCACACTAAGACTGTCTCTGTTGTAACCTCAAGTGCCACCTTTGCTAAGGAGACATCATCCTCCCCACCCCCTGCACCCCCACCAAATTTTTCTTTCTTGTAAAGACTTCTTGTAACAAGAGTGCTTTTGGCCTTGAGAACCTAAGGCTGCACACCAAGAAAACTTGTCACAACAGCAGTGAGTTCACAGCCACTGTGAGGACAATGCAGTGACCTGTCTGCTCCACTTCTCCATCTGTAAAGGCAGAGGAGGGCTCCTGCCTCAAGGTCAATAAAAACAGTACCGCTCCCCACAAAGGCAAGAGGCGGAGCCCTGCCCTCCACTTCAACTCTTCTAAATGTCCCTAAGAGCATGTCATCGCCCTCAAACGTGGGGTCTGCAGGTTCTAATTGGCTGTAGAAGGATCTTCATCCCAGGACGCAAATATAGGTGGGATCTTCAAAAGTTCATGGAAAATGCATATTATGAAAAATTATGCATAGATTTCAAATACATTTGAACCAAAATAAACTTTTAATTCCATTTTCCACAAAGCTTTTGAAAGTACCCTTGTATAATTATAAAAGGGTGCATGCCACAGAAATGAGCCTTTTATACCAACCACAGGAAGAGAATGAGCTCAGTGAATAGCTTAAGAACTTTCTAAGGGTAAAAGCTCTATTTGTTCCTAGGGTCATGGGCCACAAAGTGAAGACAGCAGGTGTGTCTAATCCGATGCCCTGGCCAGCTGCTACTCACAAATTCTGGCCTTCCTGAGCCTCATCTTCTTCATCCATAAAATGAGCACGGTCCAGCTTTCGATACTGAATCTGAGATTCTGAGGAAGGACCTGGGGTCCCATTTGGAAACTATGACTCCAAAATTTGTGGCAGCCTGGCATCACTCTCGTTTTTCTTTTCCTTTTCCCCCCACTCCCCAAAGGTAGGAGTCAGTATGCCCCTCCCTCCCTGACAAAGTCCCACTGCACTCTGTGCAGGAGGGCGGCTAGCATGGCAGCCCTGTGTGTGTGAAGTAAAGTAACCAGAAGCCCCCGGGCCTGCCTTTGCAGACACTACTAGTATGAACCACATGGTATTCATTACTCAATTATTAATTTCCTTACCCAGGTATGAATTTCAGCCTCTTTCCTCTCTCCTATACCAGCTCCCTACTTCCAAAGTCAGTTCCCCAGGAAACTGTCCCCCCAAAAAACAAGTGTTGCCATCTAACTCTGGTTAGTCCTAAAATCAAATTCATGAATTATGAACAGTTTTTTAAGGAAAATTAAATAGTATAGAAAACACGGTTGTGCTTAACAAAAGAGAAAGCAACTATACCGTAAAAAGTCGAATAGTATAGAAAATATCCTTGTGTCTAACAACAGAGAACTATACCATGAAACTTGTTGCAGTTTTATACTTACTTATGTATTTAGGTGGGCGGGTGGGTGTGGGACTATCCTGAGTGTTGTTCAAAAATCAACTCAGAAACCCATGGGCCTATGGCAGTGAGACGTGCTGGTGTGAACCTGACACACTCATCCCACTTCATCACTTGTGGAGGATTCATGCAACAGCAAAGGGTACTTAGAACCCAAGCCATCCACTCTGAATTCCTGACAGGAAACAGTTGAAACACACTTCTGTCCCATCCACCTCTAAGGTACTAGTTTCTATCATGCAACAAACAAGCTGCCCAAAGACAGACCAACCCATCTAGTTACAGCTATGCAGCAAAAAGGTGCCTGGCACTCCACAAAGGGCAGAGAGGGAGGCCGTCTCTGCTGGGAACCGGAGGCCCTTTCCTCCCAGAACTCCCACATAAGGACTGAGTGGGTCAAAGGCAGTTGAGCTGGGGCAGAGGTCGGCGTACTGGAAATCTCTGCGCCCCATTTCTCTACCCTTATTTTAATTTTTTTTCAAGTTGCACACCTCTAAAAAAAAAGTTTAGATAGCCCCGAAGCTTGCAGCCGCCCAGAAAACCCCTAGCGGGGCTTAGAGGTACCCGTGGGGCACCAGATCTTGGCCCGGTTGCAAGTGCACGAGGCCCCCTGCCGGGGAAAGCGCGGGACTGGGAGCCATGAGGGTTTGGAGCGCACCTTCCAAGCAACAGGCTCCGAACGCCGGCTGGAAAACGCTCCAAGGCCGGAAAGCGGAGCTGGAAAACGCTCCAAGGCCGGAAAGCGGAGCTTTCTGTGAGATTCTCAGCCGTGGCCCCTGCCGGTTCCGGTTAGCAGCGAGCGGTGGACCCCGCGGCCCCCGCTCACGATCAGGAGGGCAGAGCAGAAGGCCTTCACCAGCCGCTCCCCCACCTTTTCAGCTTAGCGCTGTTCCCTGCACATCTGTGTCCGTGCCCAGGCGCCCGTCAGCCTCGGGGGCGCGTCCGCGGGTCAGGGACTTGCCGGCTGCCCCCGGCTCCTCTGGGGGGATGAGGGAGACGGGCCCGAGCGCCGTAGGTTCGAAGCCCGGGTGAGAGAGCGCCAGGCCGGGCGCAGCGCGTGCCCTTGGCCCCCGGGGCCGGGAGGCCGGTTCCGTCCCCCGCGCGCAGTAAGCTTGGGTCCGCACCTAGCTGGTCGCGGGGCCCACGGGGGATGGCCCGGCGGGCCCGCTCGGGGGTTGCCACCCCCGGTGCGCAGCCGCTTCCCTCCGGCAAGGGACGCGAGCCCGGAAGGCCGGAGGCGCCCCCGCACCGCGACGCGTCCAGCTGCCCGCGGGTCCCACCTGGCTGGGGCGCCGCCGCCGCGGGAGGCGTTTGCCTCCGGGGCTCCGCTCGCTGGCCATGGCAGCGGCCCCCGGCGCTGTGCGGCCGCAGCCCCGGGCCAAGTTTCCGCGTAGTTGCGAGAGCCCGAACGCCGTCACGTGCACGCCACCGCCGCCGGGAGGCAGGACGTGTCCTCGTCGTGTCGGGGGCGGGCGAGGCCGCCAACAGGGCAGGGCTTCGACGGCCGGAGCCTCGGGCTCGCCGCCGCGAGGGACGCGGCCCGGGGACGCCGAGAGAACGCCGGGCCGACGGCCCCTCCCCGCCTTGTCCCCGCGCCCGTGGGCGCCCGCTCCGGGGTCCCTGTGCTGGGCCGCCACTTACCGAGCGCTCCCCTGCCCGCTCTGGGCACGCTGGGGGCCGGGCGGCGGGGCCGCGGCCTTCTCGACGCCCGCTGCGGTGTCCATGTCGCCTCCTCCCCCAGCTCCTGCGGAAGACAGAGTTGGAGGGGAGCTCGGCCCCGGGCCGCCGCGGCCACGTCCCCAAGCCCCGACCCCTCCACCCCCGCGCCGGTCAGTCAGGCCCTCGCGGCTTCCCTCGCTGCGGGGATGGCGCCCAGGCAGGGCCAGGCCGAGAGGCGGCCCGCAATGGCGGCCAGGACGCCAGCAGCTGACCGTGTCCGAGAGGCGGCAGGGCCGTGCGGACACACCTAACGCGCCGGCCGCCGGCGTCTGGGCGCCAGACGTTCTGACTGGACAAGCAGGCGGCCGGACGGGCGATTGTTCTCCTTGCTTCTAGAATGGTCCTCGTCAGGCTTCTCCGGGCCGCCGAGCGCTACGTCACTTCCTGTTCCGAGGCCGCGGTGGGCGCCCGCGTCCCGGAAACGGGGGTGGCGGGGCGTTGCGGGAGTCGTCCTCAGGGCTGTCGCCGGGCTGCGGTCCTGGCTTCCCCACGGACGTGTGCCGCGGTCCGGCGGCCTCGCCCCGGGCTGCGCGTCGGAACCGCCGGGAAACGTGTTTTTATGAAAGACACATACTGTCGTGTTTTTATGAAAGACACATACTGTCGTCGGGCTCCTTCTCCCAGATACCCGACTAGGGGGTTCGGAGTATGTCGTCAGCGTTGGGGTGTTTTCTAAAGCTCCGCCGGAGAGAATAACGTGACGTGCAGCAAAATCGGGGCGCTGACCCGTTGCTGACCCAGATAATTAGGGCCTCTTGCTGCGTCTCCAACACCCCTGGTTGTTCTCCTCACCGGAAACTTGGTTTATCCTCCCGCCGACGCGTTTGCCAACTTGTCTCCACTCGACCTTTAGAGCAGGTCCGCGCCACCTCTTCTAGAAGCTTCCTCCCGCCTACCTGGAAGGAGCCAGGCTTCCGAGCCTCTACGCGGCTCCATGGCGTCACAGAATCCTACAGTTTTCTCGTTCCTGCCATCAGAACAACCCCAACAGAGTATTATCTTTCTTTTATAAGATATTTCTTTTCTTCTGATTTCATTTTTTATCAAATTCGTGCATTGGTATAGCTGGAAGACCAATCCCTTCTCTGCCTCCCACACAGCTCTCCAAGTTCGATGGCTATGTTCATGTCTCTAAATAACTTGTGTTTATGTTATTTACATGTTGTTGGGGAATTTCTTTTTCCAGTTTTATGCATCATCATGTAAATTTTTTGAAATTGTGCTTTATATGAAAATCTTCACCCATAATATAGTTTAGCTGGGTATAAAATTGTCAGTTGGAATTATTTTCCTTCAGAATTTTGAAGCTAGTGCTCCAGTAAACTCCAGCTTCCAATAATATTGTGGAAAATTCTGGAAACATTAAATTGCCAATCATTTATTTAGGCCTCTTTTTTCTATATTCTTAATTTTTTAAACCTTGAAGAATCTTATTTCCCTCTTCAATGTTTTGAAATTATACAATTCTATACTTTGATGTAGGCCTATTCACCCATTCCACTGGTACTGAGTGAGTTCTTTCAATATTTAACCATCAAGCTCTTAGTCTGGAAGATGGTCATGAATTTTTTTGTTGATTATTTCTTCTCCATGTTTCCTATTCTTTTAGATTTTGGGAAATCATATTATTTATATCTTGGACTTCCAAGATTGGTTCCTGTGCAAAAATCCCTTAATTTTCTAACCACTTCTGTCCTCTACTCTTTTTTTTTTTCTTTCTGTTTTTTGCTTTAGTGTCTGGAAGATTTCCTTTATCTTCTAATTCTCCTTACTGAGTTTTTTTTTTTTATTTCTGATTTTTTTAATTTTTTCAAGAGCTCCTTTATTTTGTGAATATTCCTATGTTAGAGTACTATCATTCTCCTTTTCCACGACTACACACCTTTCCTTATCTCCCTGCAGATAATAATAGTAATGGGCTTGTTTTCTCTCTAGCATAGGTTCTATTTTCCAGAATCCTTTTTCTGTTTATGTTTTTTGTTTTATTGACCTTGTTATCAATTTTTCTCAGATTCTTATCTGCTCAGAATTAAGACTGGGTAACAGATGTTACTTTTTAACTGTACTGTGAAATGAAGGGTATCTCCGTCTCTGTAAAATACTATAAGTACCATAAGCTGATGGACAGAAAACATTATTCACTGGGAAAAATCTAGTTGAATATAGTGTTTATAGTATGTTAGCTTTGGGACAATGTGTGTATTTGCTGAAAGAGACAATGGAAGGAGAAACAAACACTGAGACATTTGGCTGTTTATATAGAGGTAGAAAATACAGAGAAGGAAGCTAGGATTCTTCATACCTTGTTTTATTATTTTGACTCAGAATCATGTAAGTAATTTTTAAATTATATTTAATTTTTTTTAGTTTAGCTATTTCTATTTTACTTGCGAGAAAGAAAGCCAGATGAAGAGATTTTCCATCCACTGGTTCACTCCCCAACTGCACCCAAAAGCCAACACTGCACCATGCTGAAGCCAAGAAACCAGAACTGTAACATGAGTGACAGAGACTCAAGAGCTTGAGCCATCTGCTACCTTCCAAGGTGTGCATCAGTAGGAAGTCGATTTGGAAGCAAAGTAGCCAGGACTCAAACCAGGCACTCCTATATGAAATGTGGGCATCTCAATCCATGAACTAACAACTGTGCCAAATGCCCACCCATTTAAGTGTTTAAAGCAGTTCCAAAAATTGAAAGCAGAGGCATCGGAACTTAATCAAGTATATCAAGTGGGTAGCATAATCAACTGATTTTAAAATGCAGTATTTTTACTAAAAGGATGTACCCCATGGAAAACAAACAAAAGTCTTGAGTTTAATAGTCATTGTTGCTAACTTGGTAATATTTCCATCACTTAGTAGTATAAATTAAAATAAGTATATAATTATTTATCATAATGTCATTCAGAACCAAAATTTTCAGTGTGTAAGAGAAATACAAATATAACAACAGAGAAAATAAAGAAAAACTCTATAGAATGAAAAGTGAATTGGAAATATCAGTAGGAACTTGGTTTATTTGCTAGCCATTACTAATTCTGCCAGGCTCTGATGTGATGCAGTATTACTAAGTTCAATAACGTTTACTCCTAGCACCCAGGAAGTGCTCTAAACATCATTTCTTCTACAACAAACTAGGACTCTTTAAAGAAAATCTCTGATTCCAAGCCTAGGGCAGAAATACGTAAGTTGAACCTAGCATATTTTTGCTGTTTCAGAAAGCAAAGTGACCAAGTAGTTATAGAGTTGTGTCCAAGAATTCTGGAACCAACTTATAAAGGCATCTGCTGTTCAAACATGGGATATGTAAGCATTGAAAAGAAAACTCAGGGGCTGGCACTGTGACATAGTAGGCTAAGCCTCCGCCTGCAGTGCCAGCATCCCATATGGGCTCCAGTTAGAGTCCCTCTTGCTCCTCCTCCAACCCAGCTATCTGCTAATGGCCTGGGAAGCAGTGGAAGATGGCCCAAGTGCTTGGGCCCCTGCACCCACATGGAGACTTGGAAGAAGCTCCTGGCTGCTGGCTTCAGATTGGCCCAGCTCCTGCCGTTGCAGCCATCTGGGGAATGAACCATTGGATGGAAGACTTCTCTTTCTGTCTCCTTCTGTCTGTAATTCTGCCTCTCAAATAAATAAATCTTAAAAAAAAGAAAAATCATTTTTGTGGGGAGCAGCTCGGACTAGACTAAGTTACTGGAATTAAGACTTATTCTATGCATCTGCTCTCCTCTGTGGGGAGCAGCTCGGACTAGACTAAGTTACTGGAATTAAGACTTATTCTATGCATCTGCTCTCCTACAATATGGCGCTGGGAGAGGAGAAAACAGCTTCTACCCAGCTGCCTCCAGTTCAACCAATAAACTGTAGGACTTGCTCCTGATTGGAGAGCAGCGTACTCGGCGTGTGGGCAGCCGAGTTAGGATTGGCAGAGGAGGACTATAAAGGAGGAGAGAGACGGCATGCACCAGGAACATCTATGGGGAACATCTAAGGGAACCCGTGCAGCCCCCGAGAAGAGTTGGCCGGCGGTGTGCCGCTCCCCTGCGGAAGTGGGGAATGCGGCCAGGGGGAACTGCCCTTCCACGGAGGTGGAAGGGATAGTAGCCAACCCAGGAAGAACCAGCAGCAAACCCGGGGAGGGCCGAGCAGACGAAAGAACAGCGCAGGGTCCTGTGTTGCTCCTCCATGAAGAGGGGGAGCGACATAATGGTGCCGTGACTCGGATATGAAGCCTAGGCAGGGTTTAGTGTTGCTCCTCCACGAAGAGGGGGAGCGACAATTTTATCTAATTATTTTATCTTTCTCAGTTATTAGTTGGAATTCTTCTGTAACAGCACTTTCAATCTACAATCATCTGGTTTCTCTGAAAAACAGTTCAAATAGATCAGGCAGGATAAATGCTTGTTTTTCTTCCTTTAATTACCAGTTTCAAAAATGAGTTGATACTCTAGCAGCCAGTGGGAAAAAATTCAATGAACTCACAAATATTTAAAATATTTACTTTAATCACTAAAATCATTTTTTTCTTAATGCTCTAATTTCCCAGGTTTAAAACATGGGAGGCCATTCACACAGGAGGCCATTCATTCAGTCAGTCATCATCAATAATAGTTTGTGGGTTTTTTTTTTTTTTTGGTTTTTGGTTTTTGGTTTTTTGTTTTTTGTTTTTTGTTTTTTTTTTTGGACAGGGAGAGTTAGAGAGAGAGAGACAGAGAGAAAGGTCTTCTTTCTGTTGGTTCACCCCCAAATGGCTGCTACAGCCGGCGCGCTGCGCTGATCCGAAGCCAGGAGCCAGGCACTTCCTCCTGCTCTCCCATGCGGGTGCAGGGCCCAAGCACTTGGACCATCCTCCACTGCCTTCCTGGGCCACAGCAGAGAGCTGGCCTGGAAGAGGAGCAACCAGGACAGAATCCGGCACCCCGACCAGGACTAGAACCCAGGGTACCAGCGCCGCAGGCAGAGGATTAGCCTAGTGAGCCGCGGCCCCGGCCATCAATAATAGTTTAAAAACACTTGGAGAAAGTATGAATTGGACTGGTATTTTTTTTTTAAGTTCTGATTATCAGTCCCAACATCAGTAAAACTGGGACATCCAGATATTACGTACTTCCTGACATGAGACAAAAGGAAACAGACAGCAACACTAGTGAAGAACCCACAATTTTAATTTAAGCAAACTTTTTTTTGAAAACATTTATTTATTTGAAAGGCAGAGAGAGAGAGGGAGAGACAAAGAGAGGTCTTCTATCTACTGGTTCACTCCCCCAAATGGCCACAATAGTCAAGGTTAGGCCATATCAAAGCCAGGGGCCAGTAGCTTCTTCCAGGTTTCCTACATGGGTGCCGGGGCCCAAGAACTCAGGCCGTCTTCTATTGCTTTCCCAGACTGTATTAGCATGGAGCTTGGGAAGTGTAGCAGCCATGACCAGCACCCACAGACCCAATCCTATATACTTAGATAGATAACCAAGTAAAAAAGAAGAAAACACAAATATTTGAATAGATGATTA